AACTTACGAGTTTACTCACGTATGACCTATGACCCATTCAGGTTAACCTGAATGGATCACAGGTTCAATAGTAGCTAACTCTAACCCGCTTTTTACCGGTCATGTTGATATCAGGTTAAATTTTGCCACCTCTATTCATATTCTTAATTAGATTCATGAACATGGTCGAAAACACAATTAACTAAGGCTTCTAAAGCATATATTCTGGTAGTATACTTTTTTGGTACATAGAATATGTTCCCAAATTTTTGTGATAAGGACATGGTTTTGATTTTGTGTAGAGTACAAAAGCTTAGAAATACTTTTTTTTTTTCTTTTTGGATAAGCATGTTGTTTTCAATAAATTTTTACCCATCTCAAAACTAGTATTTTCTTGAGAGATCTTAACAGTGCACAAATAATATTTACTTACCAATAATTATACTTACCAATAATTATAACTCTTAATTTGTTGTTATTTAATAAAGAAATGATATATACACCTTGTAAAGTTATATATTAATGGTTTTTATTACTTGTACAATTAAAACTGACGATTTTTGTTACTTATACCGTTAAAATTGATAATTTTCGTTATTTATGTCGTTAAAATTAACAATTCTATTATATACTAATGGTTTCTGTCAGTGTATAATAAAGTGTATAATTTTATAAAATGTATGTATCATTGTCCTATTTAATATGATTATGGTTGCTCTTGTTTTTTAGAAAGAATGGGCATAGTCTTATGGTAATAAACGAGGTAGAGTGATTACAAGACAATCTTTTACCTTCATAAAGAGACAACTTAGTAGTCTATACATCTTATATACTACAATTGATAAATCCATTAAGGTACAAAATAGCTTGAATAATAGAACACTTAGAAAATAATAACTAACAAAGATAAATAGGAAATCAAGTTATTTTTTTGCCTTTTCAGTATTAATTACACTGTCACAACATACCCAACACTATGACAACCTCATCTAAGGCATCCAGATTAGCTTAGAGGATGGAGGTCCAAATTCAAGCTCTCATCCAACATCACCAGACAGAGCCACACCTCCTCCACTATCAAAGACAAACTCAATCCATCCATCAAGTTCTACCACAAAAATCTCAGCCATGACTTTTGATAAATCTAATTTCTAAATAATTTTATATGCTCTGTTTGTCTCAAAATTAAGTTCCTTTGCATTGTTTAAGAGTGATATTAATTGATTTTGCAAAAATTTCATTATTTTTATAGGAAAGAACTTAATTAGAAAAAATTCACAATCTGATGATTGAATTGTAAAATTACAGCAAGGTAAGGAATAGAAGTTAGGAAAGAAGAATGTAAGTTTAAGAACCAGATTAACAGTTTTACCATTAGAGAAATTGCAACATGCACAAAAACCCGACACGGAGTTTTGATGAGCATATTTGGTGATAGTGTCGCCACCTTATTTTAGGTGTCCAGCCCTTAAGCAATTTTTGGTTTGGATTTCTATTTTGTCGTGGGTACACTCTTCTAATTTAACTATGGTTTTTCTAACCTATAAATATCAGATTCTATCTAGAATTTAGGAGGTTTTGGGCAGCCAAGAATATTGGGAAGAGCAGGAGAGTCTAGGTTGAGTAAAGTTAGGCAGGAATTAGTTCTTTTAATTCCTGAGGATAACCATGAACATAAACATAAATTGACAGAGTAAAAATTAGATCAGTAAAAGGCAAAAGTTTCAGTTCAACTTAGTTGTTCTTTTCTTGAGTTTTAGTTTTTCTTTGGACATGAATTCTTTGTTCATTATGTTAATTTCATATTTAATTTCTTTTATTATGACTTAAATGTTTTTTTTTTTTTTTGAGGAAATTATGACTTAAATGTTTAACCAAGATTACAATGTAACTTAATTAATTTAATATATATTTTAAATTAAAGTTATTCATATGATGAGTTTTTATTGTTGAATTTAATAGTTAAAAGCTTGATTACCTTTTGATTAATTATGTGATTTATGCATAAACTTAATAAAGAATTATATCAATTAAATCAAGAACAATATAAACCATATGTTGAACTATGAGACCAAGGGGCAATTAACTTTACATGTGATGATGAAGAAAGAGAAAACAGTTATGAGCTCTCTTTTCTTAAGTTAAAGGTGTCCATATCATTTATTGCTTATCAGTTTATTTTAAATTATATAGAGATATAACTAATTTAACAAGAAAAGAAATAAGTAATTGATTTGAGAAACCTAGTTAAATAATTTAGAACAAATCCATCCTCACATACAATAACACTCAATTAATTGGTTTTGGCAACATAATAATTTATAATTTATATTGATTGATTATGATAAAATCAGATGCCTTAAGACTTCACATCTTAGTTATTTTTATTTTAATTATTATTTTTCTTTTTATTATTTTAATTAAAGTTTTTTTTCTTAATTGTTTAAATAAATTTAAAATTAATTATTTTTTAATTTAATTAACCACAATTCTCATGAATTTGAGACTCTTTTTATCATAGAACAACTAGCACATTTACTAAAAGTTAAGAGTAATTTAGCGCTTCAACTTCTCTCCAAATCCACTTGCATCCTTGAAAACCCAGCCTCCAGCATCTCAAGCTATCCATTACAAATGCCAATCATGTCGTAATTCCCATAGCACCATGGACCTCAAAGAACATATAATGACTCATAATATTGATATTGTACACTTTGGTTAATTACACCTCACAGTTTTAAAACACATAAATAACGATGAATAGGTGTTAACCTATATTTGGGCCGTTAGAGAACCCTTTCTCTTTTTCCATCGAGATAGGTTTGGTCCATAATTCTTCAACCATGGTCCCCTTCCTACCGAACGCTATCACCTCCTCCGAGCACCACCTGCCTACGACCATAGTCCCTTGCGCATTCTACCACCAACAACCACCGGCCACAAACCAACCCATGACCTGCAACAAACAGTCACAATCTCAACCTCCTTTACCCATAGTTGCTAAAACAAACCCAAGGGATCTAGCCGCTCATTAATGAACTCCGCCTCCCCGCTTTCGTAACAACCCAAACTCTACCTCTACCAACCAACAGTCGTCGATAGCAATCCACAAACATCGCAAGGTTTTGCCGGCATCTCCGCAACTATTCCTACCGTAGTCGATTTTATAGGCTCTTACCTTATAATTAGGTTGAGGTAATAACGAGAGGAGGAAGAGGAAGTTTTTTAATTAAACAAATTATAATATATTTAAATATTATATAATTTGATTAATAAAAAAATCTTTTCCTCTTTTTTCTTTTTTTTTTTTATTATTTTAACTCAAATATGTTATTAAAGCGTCACCTATCACTAGGGAAAGAAAGGAAAGAGTATAGCTATGGTTTTTAAATTTTAGTGTTGATTTTTATAAATTTTGTAATTATTAAAAAATATAAATAAAAAATTAATTTTTATTTAAGATTTATTTTAACATTGATGATAAAAAATAATATTGTTTAATAATATTAAAATTAGCATTATTATTATTTTAATAATTATGATAATATTTTAACAAAAATTTATGAAAATAAATGAGTTTTTAATTTATTTAATTAGAATAGTAAAATTTATAAAAATCAAAATTAAAAAGCAAAAACCAAAGTGAGGATATTACCGCACTATACTTATTAATGCCACACAATTTTTATTTATTTGTCCATTTTATCTTAATTTTCACGTAATATAATTTAAATTTTTTATTAAAAATACAATTTATTTTATAAAATATTAAAATTTTAATATACAGTCAGTTACGTAAAATATATATATATTTTTGTTAACGTTTATCTTCTTTCCGCATTTTTGATGAAAAATATCAAAAATCATATCGATAAAAAAAAAAGAAAAAAAAAGGGGCGGGGGGGTGTTGGGATTCTGCATCTTCTCCCCCAATGCCTCCTCTTCCTTGGTCATTCCTCCATTTTCCTTCTTAACTTGCTGCATTGTTTGGCCTGTACCAATTTTCCTGTCCTCAAATGGGTTCCCATTGAGAACCCCATTCTCCTTCTTCCAAACTGAAGAACCCACGAGACCAATAGTTGGAGAAATTTTTATTATTGATTTTTCTAGCTAATTAATCGCATCGTGACAAATTGAAAATTGTGCATCACATCGTGGCGAATCTTGGCCCTTCTCTGACGAATGCCAGCACAAATATTGTGACGAATGCTGGCATCCCTGACGAATCGCATCCTGACCCAAATCTTGCAAGATTTGTATTGAATTCCACGTATACAATTTTCACACATCTAATTCTAGAGAAGACGAGAAATTATTCTCCAGCTCTCTCATATTTTCATTAACATATCTGTCCATTTATGACAGAAAATTCAACATAAAAACAGTATTTTTCACCTACTTTTCATGATTTATGGTTACATACTTTTACAAAATCTATCATAACATTAGATTACAATATATAAACAAGGATGTTAAAACACTATCACATTACTGGACTTTTGTTCACTAATTTGCAGCCTCCATTTGCATTGCATTTGCATTTCATTTTCTTCCATAATGCAGCAGTCTGCTGCATCTTTCTTTCCTCCATTGAAGCAGCTTTATTGCTGCATATTTTGTCCCATAAATGCAGCTTATTGCTGCACCATTTTGCTGTTTTGTGGTAGCAACTTCACAGCTTTGATGCCACTGCTTCAACCGACGGAGAAGATGGAGAGGGGAAGAACAGAGGAAGAGATGCACAGAGTTTTCCTCTGTTTTCCATAATTTTTTATTTTACATTTTTTTATCAAACAATGAAAACAAAAAATAGCCAGCAGACTAATTGGGGCAAAATGGACAGTTAAATGAAAAGGATCTGGCAATAGCCTCACCTAAAAAAACTACAACCAAATTAATTCGAGCCTTAATTGATGAATATTGCCTAGTTATGAACTTTATTTGTTAACATTAATCATAATCAATACATGAATATGTCTCTCACTCACTCCACTAGTTCATAAACTAGAATTATACTAAAAAAAAGAAAGAAAAAGAAAACAAAACAAAACTACAATTATCACAAGTTCCCAACTACCATAAAGAAACGAAATGAAAACAACAAAAAGGCACCTTAAGACTTAGGAGTATTGTTCCAAAGCAGGCAACCTAACCATTGGTACAGCAATCAAAGGTGTTGCTTTCTTCAAAACAATTCCAAATTTCTCAAAAACATCAAGCTCCACCTCCTCCGGTGTCTTCCATTCAAAAGAATGTAACAAAGTAGCTAACACATACTTGGTCATTTTCTCTGCTAGAGGAATTCCAGCACAAATTCTCCTTCCTGACCCAAACGGAAGGAAATTGAAAAAGTTTCCATGGTAATCACCATTTCCAGGCTCTTTCAAGAACCTCTCAGGTTCGAATTCGTCTGAATTTTTCCAAACCTGAGAGTCCCTTTGCATTGCCCATATGTTGACCAAGATTCTTGAGCCCTCAGGGATTGTATATCCAGCAACACAACAAGACTTGCTGGGTCTGTGAGGGATCAGGAAGGGGACCGGTGGGTGCAGCCGTAGGGTCTCTTTCATGAAGGCTTCCAGATAAATTAATCTGGGCAAATGGGATTCCTCCACTATGTTCTGCTTCCCTACCACTTCATCCAATTCTTCACATGCTCTCCTCATTATTTCTGGATGCTGTAGCATTTCTGTCATTGCCCACTCCACCGTTGTTGATGTTGTATCCGTAGCAGCAACAACAATATCCTAAGTAGAAATATCAAAGTAATAAAGTGATCATGTTAATTTGAATCACTAGATAAAATTTTTTAAAATATATATGTATAGATTTATTCATCACCACAAACAAGGCTTTTATTTCCTCCATGGATAAACAGGGGGTCTTCTCGTCGTCTTGATCCTTTAACTCCAACAAGAACTGCAGCAAATCCTTGGTTTCTTCTTTACCCTCATATTTAGTTTGGCCTGCTAAGACTGATTCAAAAAACCGATCGAACCACAGCGAAAGCTTCTTCATTTTCCTCTGGATTCCTTGAAGATCAAATGGAGCAAGGGCAGGGAAAAAATCAGAAATATTGGGTTTTCCAAGCAATTCAACAATCTCCCCCACAACCTGCCGAAACTCAACTCCAATGCTACATCTCTCCTGCCCATATAATATTGTACCGCCCCATAACATGCTTGTAATCACATTCAGGACTGTGAGAAACATTTGATCGGCGATGTTAATGGGGGAGCCGACCTTTCCATGAATGTCCTTCACCATTTCTCGTACTTCTCGTCTACGAAGTGAGTAGCAAGCATCAAGACTTGCATTGCTCATCATTCCACGAACAAAAATCTTTCTCAGCTTCTGCCAGTGGGGGCCGTTGGGGCTCCAAGCAATGTCAACCCCACCATAAGTGACCTCTAATGCTGATGCAGGAACATCACGGTTAGCAAAGATTGCGTCTTGGTCTTTGAGGATGACTTTGGCTAGCTCAGGTGAGTTTACAATGATGCAGGTCTTGCTACCTAGTCGAAGCTTGAAGATTGGACCATAAGTTTGAGATAATCTGGTCAAGTAAAGATGTAGTTGGGATTCAAGAAAGGGAAGGTTTCCCAACAGAGGAAGCCCTGGTGGACCTGGTGGCAACGATGGCCTAGTTTTTGATGATTTCTGGATCATCAACCGTGCATACCAAGAAATGGCCATGGCCAGAGCCACCACAAAAACAGCCCACCACCACGATTGGACCTCAAATGCAAGACTATCTGCAACATTATCATAGAAGTTAGACATTTCAAATGGGAATATGAGAAGCAAATTTGAATATAGGGTCGCCCTCTTTATTGGAATCCAGATGAGTTAAGGATGGTTGGTATGAAGCTCGATAATTGGACGCAGCTTATAATTATGGTGGTCGTTAGGACATCGTTTTCGTATGTTGAAAGAATCTACTTGTTCAGAAAGGGACAAAATGTTATTTCTCATAAAACACTGTAGAACTACTAACTAAAGTCACTAAAGTTCAACAGAGGAAATAAAGTAGAATAACTACGTCAAACTAAAGAGAATATGC